CCACTTAAATTACAAATCACTATGGTGGGCCATCATACTACCATTACATTATTATTCTTTATTCAAATGCTTATGTTGCATAATATTTATTCTGTTATTAGAAAAATGGAAATTATTTAAAAAGAACCTATTGATATATTTTAATGTTGAAAAGTTACATTTTTGTTTTTTAAGCATTACTTTTAGTATTGTTCCACTATACCTACAATTTTAAATTATTGTAGTTGAGTATAATTCTACAGTTTATTTATTAATTTGTAACAATTTTATAATTTTTTTGTTTTTATTTTTTAATTTCGATGTTATTTTAGTAAACTATTCTTTAAGTTATAATTTCCTATAATGAATGTTTTTTCTAAATGTCAGTATTATTTTATAATGCACTGAATTTATTCGATTTAATCTGATAAAATTATTTTATCATAATATAATATAACAAAAAGATTTAATTTATTTGTAATAATATACTTTTATAAATTTAATTTTAATTTAAACACGTGAAAACCATGTTTAACTACACCTAAATGCTGTTGAAATTGGTAAAATAAATAAGTTTTTAATTTAATTTTTTTAATATAATCGGTATAGCCATTACATTTAAAAATGGTTAATGAGATAAACAATACCTACCTATTTATTACTACACAATATACAAGTTCGAGTACACTATTTTGTATATTTTATTTAAATATTTATTTATTTAGATATATTAAAAGGTTATCGTTATATTAATGCTTCTTTATCTTATTAAAAGTGCCACATTATCTTGACTCATATTATTTTCAATACTTTTAGATTTTAATTATAAGCCTAATAAACATAAATTCTCAGTATTTGTAAAACTAATTATAATTGTATGTTGTATAATATAGTATTATGCATTATAACTTTTTAGACGTATGCATTTATTTTAGTTTTTTATTGTTAAAATATAATATTTAACTAATCCTATATTGACAAATGTAATACTATATACAAATATTTACCTGACAAACATTCTATAAAAATAAAAAATCTCACTGGATCATTTTAACAATATGTTTATATTTATAATTTTGGAATGGTAATCTAACAACTTAGTATACTCTATAACTAGTTTAAAAATATTTGAATTCCAATAATACAGTATCAATAGTATCATATATTTCCGTCTTTTAGAAAGTCTTGCAGACAGCTTACATTTTTTTATATCTAATATTATGTTGTTGTCTTCAAGAATACGTAATGTAATCTAATAGCGATTATTATAGTAGCTTTATAGAATTTTTCCCAGCCCCTCCCCCTATAATTGTAACATACGGAACAGTTCCTAAAAAGATATATTTTGGTTTTTTTTTTTAAATTAGTAAAACGTTAGAACATTCTGGAACATGGACTTGGAATATAAACATTAACTTGTCGTGTAATACAACAAAAAATCTTAGTATTTTGGCTGTCGAATATACTCTACTGATGAATGAAATATATCTAATATTCGTGAATATTATTGTAATAGAAGTTTATTATCGTTAAAAACATATGACTATTGGAATTTAAATGGTACTTAATTTAAACTAAACACAAAAACATTTCTTAATGATATATTAATTACTTTGTAAGTTATATTTTAACGTTCGTATATAAAATAACTAATAAATGATGCGTATAGAATATAAAACACGATTAGCGTATTTCGGAAAGTATAAATTCTCGTGTTAGTTACGGTCATTATATTTTGAAAAAAGACAAATAATTATAAAATCGTTTCCGAAAATTTTTTATATACTTATGCGAACTGTGCGTAAAACGGAGGAAGGTAACGAGATAACATGCTGCAACAGTTGCTTGACTGGCGCAAATGGCGCACGTCCAATTCATAATAGCATTTTAGATGGTAAAAAACTAATAACGGGATGCAAATTATTCTATTGAAGTTGTGTTGATTAACATCAACGTCATAGTCAGCCAATATTTTATTATATTTAATATTATTATTCCGTTGAGCGTTATTCTAGGTTGGTAGTTTATTTAAATCAGAATAGTCATCAATTAATATCTTTGAACAGACTTATTAAAAATTTGAAAATTTTTGCTGGTCATAAAAATTCATAATGCACATTTTTAACATTATATTATTATAAAATTGCAAGTAAGGATTACTATTTTTCTAAGTCTACGGGCTAGATACAATTTGTCTATGTGCCACCATTTGGTGACCCCTGGTAAAAATATATAACATTAATGGCTGAAATATATTATTATTATGCTATGTAGGATGTTTGTCTGCAGTGACAAAATAATATTCGATTACCTGTTTGATTCCCCCTACCTACTAGCAATGTGTCATAAAACTGCTTATGCCGGAATCAGGTTAACCATCCGGGGTTTTTTTTTTTGCCAACGTGTCGGTGAAATTCGAATCGTTCTTTGACTCCAAAAGAGATTTTGCAATAGTTTTATTGGTACGTTATATAGTTAAAGGTTGGAAGTTTGTGTACGAAAATTTGTCTCAATCGGTTTTCAAAACATTTGAAATAATTTTCTGCCGACGATCGTGCTGCTGATAGTATATGCGCGTTGCGACCTATTTGTCTGATGGTGATGAATTAATGCATCGTGTTCGGCTGCAGATGCAAATCTACTGGATATTACTAAATTCGGTTTATTATACCAGTACCGGTTTCACTTTTTACATTTGTTCCGCGTTTTTGCGGACTATTTGCACACAATTGCTTCAGGAGTTAAAACTATCACCGTGTTAGTTTTATCCTGTTTTTTCATACTCGCCTTGAAGAATTGAGTACCTATAACGTGTGCTGTATCCGAGGAAACAACAGTATACTATTATCTAAAGACTTATTGTAGTGAAAAATAAACGTGTAAAATTAATTACAGTTTGCTGCTCGTGGTTCGCTCAATGTTATCAACTGAACCTATATTATTATCTCAAAGAAATCCGATATCGCATGAGTATAGTGTATATTATGTACGAGTACGACGTACGTAAATAATAAATATTAATATCGTTAACTATCTGTTAGAAATACGTCTTGTCTCGTGAACTCTGCAACATATTTAAGTACAACGATTGGTTTCTATTCTACTACTATTTTATGTATAGAAAATGCACGGAATAATCTTATAATATGTAATATGCTCAAGAAATTTATTTTTGTATGACTTCTCGGTATTATAGTGTACTTATTTTTCACTATTTTGTCAAATACTTTAGTTTCACTTAAGTCCTATCAATATACTTTGTTACCTCAATATAGTTATTAATATATATACAATATAAAAGTATAGGACAGTATTCCTACTAAATATGGTTAATTAAACATGCAATGTTAACAGCAATATAATTTAACATACATGACATTATGTAGCTTTGAATAATGTAATAATAAATATTATTATATTAATAGAGTATTATAATAGTATTGCTATATTATTTAATTAAATTCATTAAAATTATATCGTTAAATTTAATAACGTAATCGATAAAATTGAAATTATTTTCTAGGATTGGTGTTGAAAATCATAATCCTTACTTTTTAAAATTTAAACACAACTAGTAAAATGCTTTATACATCGTAAATATTTAAATTTTTAAAATGTTTTAAACTAAACACAACGCATTTTTAAGAAATATATTCGTAATTTGTATGTTAAATAATTATTTTTGAAGCTATTTTAGGATATATTTTTAGTCATTTATCTACTAGATAAATCACATTTGTACATTAATACTATGAAACCATAAACGAAATCATTAAAAAGAATTAAAAATACAAAATATGATTAAAATCCTATGGAATAATATTCAATAATGTACATAAAATGTTAAAAAGAGGAAATGAAATGTCGGAAATAACCAATCGGTATTTTGCATTTATTCTATTATGTTATTATTTTATAAGTTATACACTCATCCAGTTATTTTATTTGATAGTCAAGAAATGTATAACAAATATAATCTTTACATTTTTTTTAGTATAATATTTAATCATATAATTTGATAAAATTCAAAATAAATCATAATTTATATTTGTTTAAAATAAAATAATAACTTAAATTATTTATTAAATATTCTTTGTATAAAGAATAGTTTGTTAAATATTTGTAATATGACTAGATACTAAATATGAAATATTGTACTATTCATTGACGTGTAATATCATTAGTATACATCTAAATACAAGCACCTATGTATTACAAATGAATTCAACAGTTTCTTGTTGTAAATTAATAAGGGAACATAATATATTAAATATATTATAATTAATCGTATTAATCTTAAATAACCTAATCGGAGATTTTGTGAAATATAAATTTCTTAGTTAAAAAACGATACTGATTTTATATCATCACGAATAAAAAATATGTCACATCATATTATTTAAACTAGACGTCTAGGTATACAACTAAATATTATTTAATTATATAACATTACATTAATCTTTCTTGTTTTCATATTTTAAATTCCACGTTTAAATTAATCAATGTTTAAAATATTAATTTATAAGTTTTAATTATTATTTTCAAATTGAATTGTTTATTTAAAATAAAATTGTTAAGATTATTAACTTCTGCTGAAATAATAATTTCTCAGTCAAATCACATCTAATACATAGGTATTATCCTTAATTTCAAGTACAAATATTTTACCTACACATATATTATATAATAATCACACCGTCACTTGTTAATTAATTTATTCTGTTCTAATTTTGTGAGCATCGAAGTGTTATATATAATATATAATATTATCGACGTGTTTTTTAATAATTTTTAACATTCCTAATATCTACTATAAAATATTATATGACATGACTTACTATAATTTATTATAGCTTTGAATTCTCATTATATTGTATACTTGGTATTCAATTATTGTTAAATTATGGCATACCTATATATTCTATAAATAAATAAAATTGAGAACAAAAACAAAATCAATACAATAACAAATTTTTATTCTGAAGTCATCTAATTATTTTTTTTTTTTATTATTATTACAGGAAGAAATGCAGCTATGACCCCACAAGTCATGCAAACCATCATAACCCTGTGTGCCTTGCTTATTGCAAGTACATTCGCTACACCATGTCCGCATCCGTGCAAATGTTTTACCACAGAGAATGGAATACAAGTAGCTAATTGTACTGACCTACCGGATCAAATAACGACCACATGGCCACAAAAAATTCTTCGAATTCATTTCGACACTGATCGAGAGTCAACAGTTATGTTGAAAAACAAAGCGTTCAAACACTTTCCACGGCTTACGTATCTAGATATAACTGGAGGTACCATACACTACGTGGGAAATTTGGCATTTGATGGGTTGCCGGAATTAGTGGAACTTAATCTTGTAGGAACGGGTATAAGAAAATTGCACCGAAATACATTCACAAGCAACCAGAAATTGGCATTTTTGTCCTTAAGTAAAAATCCTAGACTCTTTGTAGGCCCTTCATTCCTCGTGTCTGAATCTATAACCGAGCTCGACTTATCAGAATGCGCGTTGACCACACTGAAAAGTATATATTTTAAAAGTTTACCCAATTTAAAATACTTGTTTGCTACGAAAAATGATCTCAAAGTACTCAGTTCTCAATTTGGACCTTCCGGTGTCAAGTATGTAAATCTTGCCCATAATAAAATTGAATATATCAACGAGAATTTAGAAGCATATAAACGTTTGCGAACAATCGATCTTACTGGAAATCCAATTAACTGTACGTGCGAACTTTCGGAAGTAGATAAAAAATTGTCATCTAGAGGTGTGGCATTCGGAAATTCGATAACGTGTAATAATACAGGAAAACCATTAAGTGATATGTTAGAAGTATGTTCAGACAAAGAAATGATGGGGGATGATCCTATGGATATGTACCGAGAAGATCACTTATTAAAAATCGATAAAAGTATGATAAGATCTGTGGAAGAATTTGACGAATTTGGTTCGGGTTCAGGTAGCGGTGATGGTGGATTTACCATGATGGACATAAATTATGTAACACAAACTAAAATAAAAAACGTACACAATAATACACAAATTATTGAAGTCAAAAATAATACACAAATCGAAGAAGTAATAACAAAAACTCATGTTAATGAAACATTTATAGTTCCTAAAATCGAAACGGCTTCATTACCCACTACTGCTGTGGATGTATCGTCTAAAGATACGACGGACGAAACTACTATACTCCCAGCTGAAGAAGTAATCGTTCATGTTCAACCTACGATTCATCCTTCTGATAGCAATTCCTCTACCATGCGATCTAGCATGGACCGTGGAATTGTCTCTCAGACGATACAAGCGCCAGAAGACGAAGAAAATGTTCAGAACAAAGTAGCTGAGTTCCTAAAGTCTAATGTTGGAATAACTGGAACAGCGGCTATATTAGCAATAGTTATCATAGCTATTGTGTACAAAGCCGTGTGTTTGGGAAAATCGCGAAGTCACAATATCGTAGCTTGCAATGATAAATCCGTCGAACTCAAAGACATAAAATATGAACCAGCAAACACGGAAGACACGCACAACCAACGTGATGATTCACCGGCTAGTTCAGTGGAAGAGAACCTGTTGGGAGACCACGATAGCGATGACGAAGATGACAGTAACGGATATAACGAAGACGATATGTCTTCAACGCTAGCAATGAATGGTCACGCTCAAAACGGTTTATTGAACAGTGTTATGGATGCGGTGAAAAATAACGAAGAGCCAACGAAGACTGCGTCTGGTGACCAAAACGTTCCTACCAAAGTGATAGTGAAAATGTGCGAAACTCCAAAAGCTTCCAAACCAATAACAATTAATAACGTCCATTAAGTATACTCTACAACATAAAGTAGCTCCTAAATTATTGGACGACATCGAAAAAACATATCCAAATGTAAAATTCGTAGCATAATGTATGTTTTCCATTTAAATGTATTAACTGTGTCCCGTATATAATTTTAAGTTTTAACAGACCATTTTAAAATAAACTATTTTTATACAACAAAACTTAAAATAATACGAATTAAATCTCTGGTGTATAATAACAGTTACCTACTGTTGAGTTTAATGGTAAACTTTGTTCTAATGTGTCATAGTTGTTGAACATTGACGATTCAATTTAAAACTGTTTCGTTGCCAACTTATCATGTACGTCATCCAGTAAATTTTAATATTTATTTTGTTGTATAATATGATAATATTGTTGTCCATTAAGCCTTTGCTTAGTTAAAAAATTATACTATAAAATATTCATATTTTTAGAGGTTCAAAACCTTGTAAATGTACAATTTGCTTATTTTATTTATTGTTTTTTCTACTATTTATTTTTTAATGATCTGTAACTTATGTTAAATTTTAATTTTAATTGTTTTTAATGTAGGTTTATAAACTACGATTAATTGTTTTTTTTTTTTTTGTAAATATATAATTATTATTACATTTTACAGGTTTCCAAATTAAATTAATAATGAATAAACTATATTTTAAATTGTTTTAAGTACTTAAGTAATATATTTATTTTTAGAAGTAGAGTGACTTTTTGAATAAGAATTTGAACAAAACAATCGTTGACTTAATCACTGATCTAAAAAAATGCATTAGTGACTACCAGGGTTAGGAATGTATACTTAACAACTTTAGATTATGTGTGTATACTGTATAAAATATATTATGTACTTAAAAAAACACCAATATAATATTCTGCAAGTAAATTATATTTAAAATAAATATTGTAGTCGTTAAGCATATTGGTTTTTAATACAGTTTTAAACAAGTATCTACAATCCTAAAAAAACACGTATTAAGTCCCTTGATTGTTAATACCGGCATACGATAAATACGAGTAAATTATTATCGAATAATATCTAAAAGTATTGTTCAGATTAATGTTATCCAATGCTCAAAATAACGTATTTCTAATAAAATATAATTGTTTTTTATACATAATGGTTATTATATTTTTTTTAACATCGAGTCATTAATAATTCTCATCTAATATTAACACTTTAAATGTGATAAATGTTATTCTTATAATTAATTTGCCATTCTAATGTATCAATTACCTACAAGACGTATTATCAATAACATATTATACGATATTAAGAGGATATCATACAGCATAACATTGTGTCTGTCGTACTATAGCGACTTGTTCTCACATAACATATTATAGTTTACATTCAACAGCTCTAATGCTATGTTGTTACTGCAGTGACATAACCGAGTAAAAAATTGGGGCAAGGAAAATATAACTTATTTATAAAAATCGAAACCGTCATCCAATGTTTGTTTTCACTCAAGTTTAAAATTAATTTTATGATTTAAAAACAAATCGATGGTATTCATATTATTCAACAATATTAAAAGTTAATAAATACAGTGTTATAATTTGATTGAAAAAAAATGATGTGATATTATGATAATTCTCTATTCATGAAATAATATTATTTGGGTTGTTAATATGGGGGATTTTTGTAGCTCACATAATGCAATAACGTTAATAATACGTCAACATATTAAACAGCAAAAGAAACGTAAATAAATATTCTTTTATACAATAATTTATGGGAAAAATATTTTATCTTATAAATGTATGTTAAATGTATTGTGTTATTTCTTTACTTAGATTTAAATATTTTTTCTGTTGGTATATCTAAGGTAGGGGTAAAATTATATTGTCTCTCACTAAAATATCAAAGGAACAAGTGCTCCTTACTCCAAAAAATAAAAATAATACGCCAATGATTGTTATCTTAAGTTCTATTAGAGTGAATAAATTATTATCAAACTTAAAGGTAAAAATATGAATTATATTCTTTCATTATTTTTACCATGCTTAAAATGTTTACCTTTAGTTAAAAAGAACACAAAATTGGAATGGCTGAACGTAAATTTGACATGTTTATTTGTAAGATGGAGAAACACATCATGTAGATGTAACGTCTTCTTAATCAGTTGGACATTTGGTTGGTTATCATAACACTATTATCTATAATTCATATTCGAACTATTTACTTGGAACTAATAAAAATGATAAAATAAGTTATATAATTAATTTATCAATTATTTTTGCACACGAGTAAGTATTGTAAAAATAAAATTATCATTGCAAAGTGCAAATATATAGTTTATCATTGTGCGAGTGTTATAATTTATAGTAGCTATTATATATTTGAATTTTAAGTTTAATATTAATTATTAAATCAAATTAAAATATAGGTATATGTTTTGAAAACTATATCTGTTATTGATACATAAAGTTAAATAAATTCAGTTCGTATAGAAATGCATAGTAGTAAAAAAAAACATTAATAAATCAATAAAAATTAATTTTAGATACTGCTTAACTGTTTTACTGTGTTTGATTTGCTTCAGCGATTGTAGGGTCGTCGTGAACGTTCGAAGTTCGAAAGTTAAATTATTTGTGCATTACAGTTTTGAAGTTAAATAACCTCATGTTATCAATTATATGTTTTACAACCAAACTATTTCAGTCTGGTCTCATTTTAACGTATACTGTATATTAAGTAAGGCCTACATTTTTATATGAAAAATAACCTGTAATATGCATATACTATTTATGGATTAATATATTATAATTATGAAAAATATATAGTATATGTTAAACACTGTATGTCTATGCATAACAATGCTTGTTAAATAATAAATTGTATTATATTTTAAAAATGTACTACCATCTGTAAGGTTTTTTTTTTTTTTTTAATATATTTTGAAACAGTTTAAATGTCATTGTATTTATATCAAAAAATAAATTTAGAATTCTTTTTTCTAAATCATAATAATAAAAATAATAATTTATTGAATTTAAAAAAAAATTAGTTAAAAATATCTATATATTTATTATATTAAATTAATTTCCACTCAAACATGAAAAAAATAAAACTAGGTACCAGATTCTTCGCATTAAAAAACATCCACATATTTAATGTTTTAATCAGAATTTTTCTAACTTAGGTACAAAGAAATATGATTTTACATAAAAATCAGTGCCATTATTATACATTACATTTGAAATGTTTTCAAAAATTAATTATAGACGATTAATGCAGACACTCGATGACGAATAATCAAAGGTATTCGTCGTACATGCTTGTGTGTATTGTAATTTTCGCGAATTAATTTATCTGATAATGGAGAAATTTATTCGTTTTTAAGTGTTTGAAAATCACCGCGTTAATGCGAATTCCTGTGACAAATCACGTCGAATTAACGTTTTCTGTATTTAATCTTCATCAAAATTATTTTGGTAATAACGCGTAAAAGTATTTATCAGTGACCATACTAAATTTTTAAAACTTGATTTATATTTTTCTGTTTCATAAATAGATAGCTTACAGAATATATTTCAGTATTGATATAGGTGTTTAAATATCAAACAATACATATTTGTGACAATTTTTGAGAGTTTGACAATATCAAAGTGTATGATATCATCAAACAAATACAACTTGTAGTACATTTACTAAGGTACTTAAAATAATAAAGGCTACAATCTTTATTACAATAATTCGTAATTTTTATGATAAAAAACCAAGAATGACGAATAACTGACTTATTGTAGATGTTAAGGTATCACAATAACATACTTGAAAATGTTAAAATAATATTGAATAACAAAGCTCTTATTATTTAAATCTAACTTGTAATTATTTTTTATTTAAATTTCCGATTTTGTCGAAATTCAGGTTAAAATGAGTTTAGAATAATGATTTTATATTTTTAGATTCTTTAATTTTACCAAAAACTAATTATGAGGAAATGTATAATTATAACTAAATATTAAAGCCTTACTTATAATTTATAAAAATTGAATATTCTATACATTTTTAACAACAAAACAAAGTTTATGCCTATATTTTTCAAATTACCAAGAGAAAATTTTAAATTAGATTTTTTAGGAATTTTATGGAGCCTAATCATTTTTATTACACATTTACTAGTAAAAATAAAAATTATAATCATAAGAAAATTTCAAATGTTTTCAAATTTAAAGTATTGAAGACAGAAAATGATTATTTAAGTAACAATGAAATGTTTTGAGTATAATACAGTCACTATATTGAGTTACTACTACATTTTTGAATTGCAACAAAATAAAAAAGTCAAAAACTAATAGATACAAAAAAACGTACAAAATTTCCGTTCTTCTTATTTTTTTTCCAACTAAAAGAAAAGTATTAGAACATTTTCACTTTGATCTCACGATTCATCAATCAGATTAACTTTTCATAAAAATCCATGTTTTCTATTTATGAATTATTTATCAACTAATATGATATCCTTTTTTAAAATGTGGTCATTGTCCGAATTTTCAATTGTTTTTAACTATTAGTTACGATAATCCAATTAACGGCGCCCTATTTTGAGTAGTTAAGCAACTTAATTTAATTATAAAATAAATAAAAAAACGTATATTTAGTGCGCTATCTAGTGATAAATATTAGCGCTAGTGACTGATAGCTTTTTGAATCTTTGAAGTAGATGCCATTCCTATTTATGTTTTAACGCGTCGATCAATTACGAAAAACAAGGAATTACTTTAATTTTAATACACTGTTATTAAAGTACACATATTATAATATTATATTTTTTAATTACATATTGGTAAGTAATAATTTTTAAGTTTTTATTTTAATATTTGAGAATATATCTAACGGTGTAATAATTATTACTGTACATTAGGATTTAAATTGTAATATTAATTTATACAATATAAATTATATATTACATTAGATAATCTAATTTTTTTTCAAAAAGGAGATTAGTTTATTGTACACGAAAATGATCTAATCGTTTCATGAAAATTATTCAAAATATAGAATTCGTTTCTGATCTCTGGATTTTAGGCACAATTTAGGATCATGTTATCAAATGATCCGCATAAGTTGTTAATGTGACTAATTTTGAGTCTTTTTATGGTTATCTCTTTATATGGCTTAAATTAATATGGTTTGATCAGAGTTCTATCGAGTGTTTTATTTTGTTGTGGTTTTTTTTTTTCGTAATCTATTAATCAAATAACATAATGTTTAATATACTCAAGTAAAAGTACAAGCTATGTAAAATTATACATCAAAAATAATTTTTTTTTAGTTCCTGTATTATTTAGGCATTTTTTACAAAATTAAAATTGTTTGTTTATATAATTTAAAGCTGCAAAAAGATTATAACTGTTCATATAAAAATTCATATAATTTTTATATAATAAAAAAAAAAAAATTAAAACCCTAGTACAACCTAATATTTAAATCTATAATAGTTAGGCTTGTGGGATTGTGAAAATAAACAACAGTCAGGAGAA